AAAATGAATGGCCCTCCCTTCAGCAAAATATATTTAACCTAAACCCTCCCTGAACAATTGAAAAATGGATGGCCCTTGATTAAAAGAAAGTATAAAATAATAACCAATCAGCGTTGAGCTAAACTGAGTGCGTTCAACTGTGAATGGTCCTGGCGCACCAAAGAAAAGTGTCAAGGGAATCAGTTTGGATTTGGCTTCACTCCTGTCACATCGCTTCAAGAGAAATACTTCATTGACAGAAACAACTAGAATTTGCATCTCGTTGTGTTGTTGTCCTTTGGTGGCTAGCTAGCTAGCTAAAATGGGCCCTTTCCTAAATTAGCCATGGATGGAGATAGGGATTTGGACTTGTGGTTGTACTTAATTCTCCGTACTGGCCAATGATTATAATGGCGATTCTGATCCAACCATAAATTCATACACATTGTGCCCCTGGACTGAGATTATAGAAGTTCAATATGTAGCTAGATGTAGTAGGCTAATGTTAACTAGCTGGCTAATCGCTAATGTTGCCCATGAAAGGAAGTTAGGCTAGCAAGCAAGCATTTTAGCCAGGTAGGCTAGGACAACAAAAAATAAGTGTGTACTGTATGACAGAGTCATAGACCGTTTCGTCAATATGAAAGAGAAGAGGATGGCATTGGTGTTTCTCTACAAGTAGGGTGAGTCAACATGTTTTTTCTACTTGCGCACACACACACACACAAATCAGATCCATGGACAGCCATATCATATTTAGCTTACGTTGATTGGACTAAATTGTTTTGGGTATCTTTTAGTTGTCACAGTATTAGACTAAGCATAGCTAGGTGATTTGATGATGTTGAAGTGGAAATGGTGCTGGAATAGTGGAGGCAGCTCCTGTTTTCTTTGCGACTTGCGGTAACTCTTTGTGGTTTCTAAATCAATAGTTGTTTATTAGTCTGAAAATGTCGGAAACATTAACTTGCTTGACCATGCTGTAGGTCAGGGTTCTTCAATTCCGGTCCTGGAGGGCCGAAACACCTCTGTTTTTCATCCTCTCCTTCTAATCAGGGGCTAATTCAGACCTGGGATACCAGGTGAGTGCAATTAACTACCAGGTAGAAATAAAAAACAGAAGTGTTTCGGCCCTCCAGGACCGGAATTGAAGAACCCTGCTGTAGGTCATGTAACTGTTTGTTACATGCAATATGCTTTGTGGACTTCACCGGACGGAGGTTTGCTCTCCAGTTTTGTGATGAAACAAAGGTGTGGTTGAATTTATTCTGCCACTGTGTCTTCTTATTGTCTCGGCCTTAGGCCTATATACAGTATCACGGTTGCAAGGCATATGAACTTAAAGGTTATAGAGCAAACAACGCAATTATCACAACATATAGTTTGTAATATGGCATTTTTTTCTGGCTTGGCTTCCCCAGTGATTTTACCCACGCACCGCTACTGGCAGTTTTAGGAAATGTTTTTCTTCCTGTAAGCATTACATGGCAACGCAGTTATTTTGATAGCGTACAAGGCTGCGGGCCAGAAGGTTGTGGGACAACCGTGAACAAGAGTAGGGTGGAAAGAGCTCCTTTAAAGTAAAAACATTGCATATCATTGTATTTGCAGGTCAGAGAAATTTCATGCAATTCTACATCATTTTACATAGTAGCAGAATTTTTTTTCATACCACACAAGTTACTGAAATTACAGGCTAAGAATGGACAGAGATAGAGTGTCACGACTTCCTACGATGCTGCCACCTCTCCTTGTTCGGGCAAGCTTCGGCGTTCGTCGTCACCGGCCTTCTAGCCACTGCCGCTCCTCATCTCATCATTCCATTTGTTTTGTCTTGTTTATTACACACACCTGGTTCATATCCCCTCATTAGTACCTGTATCAGTGTTCCCTCGGCCCCCTTGTCTTTGTGTGTGATTGTTTATTGTGGAGGATAGAGTAGCTAGGTGGAGCTCCGTGTATTTTGTATCGCCGGGATATTTCCCAGTGTGCCTTGTATTTTCCAGTGTGCCTGTTTTGCGTAACTCTGTGGTTGCGGAATAAAGCCTGTTATTCTGTGATTTACCCTCCTGTGCCTGACTCCTTCGACCTCACCTCATCACATAGAGATGTGTACATCTTAGCATATTTCTCCAATGCTAAATCAGTTTGTCTTGTTTGTAACAAAACTGTCCCTGTTTGCAAATAATTAAATCTGAAACATCATTAGGAATCTAAGCATGGTACTTTCAAAAGTTATGCCTACCTTTGCACCCCAGACAGAGTAGGCCTACAGACGCAGAAAAATGTCAGTTTTAACTGCTGGCTACTCTTCTTCCGTGGCTTAACCCAACGAGAGAAGGTCACAAATGTTTCTCTAAAAGCTGTCTGGGTTTAAACATCTCTATTGTACAGAAAGTGAATAGCTTTATCAATTGATAGTAACATAATTAGATTACTTCCCAAGCAAAGTCTATGTTTTGTCTCCTCGGCTATAGAAGGTTATAGCTCAGCCTCTGAATGTCAAAGAAACCAGATGCATCGGAGTCACGTCTTTTCTGGTTATTTTACAGCTTGTTTCTAGCATAAAGCATTGCGGACCAAAGCGCTGTTGTAGACCACTTTATATAATCGGATCCATTTTATTTTCTTTAAAGTCTTCAGCTAACAAGGGGTAGGCCTGTGCTTTTTGAAATGGTCTTTAATAAAAAGTACCCCCTCAATTCAAGTCTTGGAAGGCTATATAAAGAGTGCATGGTGGGTGGAGGAATTGACCGACAAATCTATGGATATAGCAGCCTATAGCCTAATTTCATCTGTCTGTCAAATTTCATAAATCTACCTCTTATTTCTTAAATAGGAAGAAATAGGCTCCAACACAAAGCCCTCTTGTTGTTAGTAAAGTCTAATTAAAATGAAGCTGGTTTAAATTAATTATGACTACTTGAATTTGCCTACTTTCAGCACCATGAGCTGATTGATTGTGCCGTGGCTGCTGCTTCAAGTTTCAGCACCTAAATATAAGTTATTTGAATCTGTCTTATTGTTAGGTCAATAACTCTGATAAATAGGCCTACATCATGGGCAAGAAACATATTGTTATTAATAAAATCAATTATAGTAGTAGCAAGCTATCAAAGTTAACTTCTGGTCCTCATCTTCGCACTCTCCTTCTCAAACTGAACAGAACATAGGCTATAGCCTAGTCTGGTGCAAGATTATATTCAGAAGAAGGCTTTGACTGTCCTCCAGAACTGCCACTGTAGGCCTACACAGCACAAGCCATTGGTTAGGCAGCATACAAAAACTTTTTTATCAGCAAGAGCAGAGCAGGCCGGGGCTCAGGGTTGGAATATCCATTGCAGTGTGTAATATAGCCAAGTTTTATTTACACCATCCCAGCAGCTATCTGAGAAATATAACTTTGCTCTGTGCTTCTCTGAGCATGCACTTCGTAGCCTATAGCCTATAGGCTATGGATCATTTAATTGAGACCACACTAAATAACTTATAGGTGCACTTGATATTGCGCGCCCAGCAGAGAATCAGAGATAAGAGGCGGCATCGGGCGCACATCGATGTATACATCCTTTTCATGTTATTCATCCACTGAAATCTGGTACAATCTAGGCCTACACCAACTAAACTCATGTTTGGGATAATATAGGGCAATGTTTTCACATTCATTTATTCAACATAAATTATATTAGTATTAATCTCTCAAAAGTCTTATTTTTTCACATATTTGGAACAATATACTCTTCAAATACGTGACATTTCCAGAGTGGGTTCTCTGGTACTTTTAATGATATTACCAATTTTATACATAGAAATGTACATTATAGGTCATTAACCAATCATAGCCCTCCTTTAGGATTGCACATTCTGAAAATCATTCTGGAGTTCTCTTTGAATCCATTTTCCCATTCACTCTGTTGGTGCTCATAAAATTGATCAAATTGATTAGCAGAGAGCCCACTCTTTGAATTTGATGTACTTCTAGAGTATATTGTTACAAAAAATAAGTCTTAAAATGAACAAAATCTAAAAGGGTACTTTTGAGATATTAATATTAATATTTTCTATGTTGAATAAATTAATGTGAAATGTTTTAGTTCAGAATCTAGACATACTCCATATGTTAGAGCACACTATAAGGAGTATAATGACACCAATATGTTTTCTGTATCATGTACAGTGTGTTTATGTGAGCGTCTCATCATCTGTAGGACCTTGTCTGGATCACGTGTATGGACCATTCTCCTCTCTGTGAGGTCAGCCTACAGAGCCCCCAGCCCAACTGCCACATCAGGCCAGTATCAAACCCTTATGAAGGCAGTAAAACTATATATAAAACAGCCCCACATCAACTCTGTTTCCTCCTTGTGAATGTGTGTGAGAATGTGTGTAATGGCTAAACTCATACACATGCAAAGAAAATGTTGTAAATCTAATCTCAGTCAGGGTGCAGTCCATCACAGTGTGTGGGTGTGAGTGAGAGAAGGAGAGCGATACACAAAGAGAGGGGGAGAGAGAAAGTGCTTGAACAAGATTGTGAGACGTGAGCTCTTCAGGTTGATCCTTTCATCTCCAACATCAAAGTTACCATCATAAAACACAAATTCTCTTCTCCGTAAATGTCATCGACAAATACACAATAAAACTACAGAACTTAGAATAGGAATTTATAATTGCACAACTCGCCCAGAGCTGCTCTCTACATTGTGTTACATTGCCATGGTGGGCCTCCATCTGAACAATCAGTCAGTATAAAAAAAACACAGAACAAACAGGTCAAAACAGGTCCACTGGCTTGTGTTTAACAGTAAACAGTAGTACAATAATAAAAGTTTAATACAAATGGATGAGGAACTACAACTCTGCTGAGATGCTCTGTACAATCGTTCCTTTTCAAGGCGGAGTCTTAACCTGGCCATGGTGCCACAAAGCCCTAAAGGCCACAGATTCTCCATGGGGCGCGATTAAACACACATGTCCATATAAGGTCCATTGAGCACCAGCTCATGGGTGGGGCTGGGGGGTCAGGGGTCGATCTCCATGGGAACGATGGTGATTATGGCATCCTCGTTACCACGGCGCACCACCACCTGCAGCGTGGTGTCCTTCTTGATGATGGTGCTGACGTCGGTTGCAGAGGAAATCCGCTGGCCATTGATGGAGATGATGACATCATGCTCCTTCAGACCGCCACTAAGAGAGGAAGAACACAACAGAATGAGAACTACAGCAACAAACATGCTGGATAGAACGGTTAGCTATAACAATAAGATTGTTATTTCAAGGTATAGATTCATGATTGCTCTTTATTGCACCGACATTCAGCTAGGAATGGATTCCATTGGCCATTGTTGCCTTTACATTTCTTGTTAGAAGGTTTCACACAATATTTGATGTCTTATTTTGTAGTGCTGGACAAATAGTTAGAAGGCACTGAAATAAACTGCGGCAGGTAGCCTAGCGGTTAAGAGCGTTTGGCCAGTAACCGAAAGGTCGCTGGTTCAAATCCCGAGCCGACTAGGTGATAAATCTGTCAATGTGCCCTTGAGCAAGGCACTTAACCCTAATTGCTCCTGTAAGTGGCTCTGGATAAGAGTCTGCTAAATAACAACAACAACAAATCGACCCTTTTCACATACATGTATCCTTCATCCGGACCACAATAATTAGTCAGCGGAGAGTGCTTTGTGCAACACACTCTCACAGACCAAACACACCCAGAATAGAAATCTAGTAAAACCAAATTACACAAAGAATGGAGTGGTTACCAGAAGTGATATCAAAGCCTCCACTTTCACACAACTACTCTCTGATCACACTCACATGTGAACAGGGGCCGCCTACCACCAACTATAATACTTCCATATTCCCCTCATAGTACTCAGGCAAACAGGACTAACACTTACACCACCAATGAGACACAGAGGGCCTAATAGGAGAACTAGGGCTGGGTGAGTGGGACCAGGAAAACCACAGCAAACCCCTTGCTACTTGAGGGATGAAGGGAATAGCTGACCTCAGCGTCTCTCCAGCCACAACCCTTCTCTGGTAGAACTGTGGTCACCAGAGTTGACCACACTGAATGTGCTGCTGAGGATGTGGGAGGGGAGGATATTTGAGTGGGTGAACAATCAATGTTTTACTAAGGGGGGTTGTGTGTCTGTGTGTGTGCATCTGCACGTGAAAATGGGAGAGAGAGTGTGTGTGAATGTAAGTGGGTTTGTGTGGGGAGAGTTGGGCGTTGATGGTCTATATACATTTGAAACATGTACATACAGTATCCCTTAGCACAGAAAAAGTCAGACAACTTGTCCTCACACTCATAAGAAACTCATACTATTGGTGAGATGGAGTGTGTTTGTACTTTCTTTCCCTGTTAGTTTGTACTTACGCTGCGGCCGGTGTTTTGGAGATCACCTCCATGACGTACGCTCCAGATGTGATATCAGGGAAGTCTTTGTGTCGCACCTTTAGCTCCTTGGTCAACCTAGAGAGTGAAAGGGAAGAAATTAAGTAACCCATTAGGAAAAAGTGCTTAGTTGTCTGTATCCAACTAAAATGCAGTTCACCAGGCCCAGTTCAAATACATTATTTTTGACAGCTTTGGATAACTGCATTCTCCAGTTTAGTGCACACATTCACAGTCTCAAGTCTTTCATTGTATTTATCGGGAGTTGACAAAAGAAAAAGTCCCATCTTTATCCTTTTCATTACAAGTATGACCAGTTAATAAGGATCTACTTACGCTGGGGTGAGTGTCATCATCCTCACACCAATGTATCTCTTCTTTGCCCCAGCTCTTCCTAAGGAAACACAATAAGAATAAAAACATCAGGAAGAGGGCAGCTCTTTAATCATATGCAAAAGGTGATTCCTTTTGACTTTAAGAATATCTGGGTGATTCTGAGGCTAGGTCAAATCAAATGTTATTTGTCACATGCTTTGTAAACAACAGGTGTGGTCTAACAGTGAAATGTTTACTTACGGGCCCTTCCCAACAATGCAGAGAGAAAGAAAAATTGAAAAATAACAGAAAAGTAAAACACGTCATAATAAAAGTAACAATAGATACACAATGAGTAACGATAACTTGGTTATATACAAGGGGTACCAGTCCCGAGTCGATGTGCAGGGGTACAAGGTAATTGAGGTAGATATGTACATACAGTTGAAGTCAGAGGTTTACATACCCTTAGGTTGGAATCATTAAAACTCGTTTTTCAACCACTCCACAAATTTCTTCTTAACAAACTATCGTTTTGACAAGTCAGTTAGGACATCTACTTTGTGCATGACACAAGTAATTTTTCCAACAATTGTTTACAGACAGATTATTTCACTTATAATTCACTGTATCACAATTCCAGTGGGTCAGAAGTTTACATACACTAAGTTGACTGTGCCTTTAAACAGCTTGGAAAATTCCAGAAAATGATGTCATGGCTTTAGAAGCTTCTGATAGGCTAATTTACATCATTTGAGTCAATTGGAGGTGTACCTGTGGATGTATTTGAAGGCCTACCTTCAAACTCAGTGCCTCTTTGCTTGACATCATGGGAAAATCAAAATAAATCAGCCAAGACCTCAGAAAAAAATTGTAGACCTCCACAAGTCTGGTTCATCCTTGGGAGCAATTTCCAAAGGGACCACGTTCTTCTGTACAAACAACTATACGCAAGTATAAACACCATGGGACCACGCAGCCGTCATACCGCTCAGGAAGGAGACGCGTTCTGTCTCCTAGAGATGAACGTACTTTGGTGCGAAAAGTGCAAATCAATCCCAGAACAACAGCAAAGGACCTTGTGAAGATGCTGGAGGAAACAGGTACAAAAGTATCTTTATCCACAGTAAAACGAGTCCTATATCGACATAACCTGAAAGGCCACTTAGCAAGGAAGAAGCCACTGCTCCAAAACCGCCATAAAAAAGCCAGACTACGGTTTGCAACTGCACATGGGGACAAATATCGTACTTTTTGGAGAAATGTAATCTGGTCTGATGAAACAAAAATAGAACTGTTTGGCCATAATGACCATTGTTATGTTTGGAGGAAAAAGGGGGTGCTTGCAAGCCGAAAAACACCATCCCAACCGTGAAGCACGGGGTTGGCAGCATCATGCTGTGGGGGTGCTTTGCTGCAGGAGGGACTGGTGCACTTCACAAAATAGATGGCATCATGAGGAAGGAAAATTATGTGGATATATTGAAGCAACATCTCAACACATCTGTCAGGAAGTTAAAGCTTGGTCGCAAATGGGTCTTCCAAATGGACAATGACCCCAAGCATACTTCCAAAGTTGTGGCAAAATGGCTTAAGGACAACAAAGTCAAGGTATTGGAGTGGTCATCGCAAAGCCCTGACCTCAATCCTATAGAAAATGTGTGGGCAGAACTGAAAAAGCGTGTGCGAGCAAGGAGGCCTACAAACCTGACTCAGTTACACCAGCTCTGTCGGGAGGAATGGGCCAAAATTCACCCAACTTATTGTGGGAAGCTTGTGGAAGGCTACCCGAAACATTTGATCCAAGTTAAACAATTGAAAGGCAATGTTACCAAATACTAATTGAGTGTATGTAAACTTCTGAACCACTGGGAAATGTGATGAAAGAAATAAAAAGCTGAAATAACAGGAGTTCAAACAGGTGCAGTTAATACAGGTAATGAGTGGAGAACAGGAGGGCTTCTTAAAGAAAAACTAACAGGTCTGTGAGAGCCGGAATTCTTACTGGTTGGTAGGTGATCAAATACTTATGTCATGCAATAAAATGCAAATTAATTACTTAAAAATGTGATTTTCTGGATTTTTGTTTAGATTCCGTCTCTCACAGTTGAAGTGTACCTATGATAAAAATTACAGACCTCTACATGCTTTGTAAGTAGGAAAACCTGCAAAATCGGCAGTGTATCAAATACTTGTTCTCCCCACTGTATACAGTACCAGTCAAAAGTTTGGACACACCTACTCATTCCAGGGTTTTTCTTTATTTTTACTATTTTCTACATTGTAGAATAATAGTGAAGACATCAAAACTATGAAATAACACATATTGAATCATGTACAGTGGGGGAAAAAAGTATTAAGTCAGCCACCAATTGTGCAAGTTCTCCCACTTAAAAAGATGAGAGAGGCCTGTAATTTTCATCATAGGTACACGTCAACTATGACAGTCAAAATGAGAAAAAAATATCCAGAAAATCACATTGTAGGATTTTTAATGAATTTATTTGCAAATTATGGTGGAAAATAAGTATTAAGTAAGAGCCAGTTTCATCATAGCGCTTGATGGTTTTTGCGACTGCACTTGAAGAATCTAAAGTTCTTGAAATGTTCTGTATTGACTGACCTTCATGTCTTAAAGTAATATACTGTTGTTTCTCTTTGCTTATTTGAGCTGTTCTTGCCATTATATTGGTATTTAACCAAATAGGGCTATCTTCTGTATACCACCTCTACCTTGTCACAACAGAACTAATTGGCTCAAATACATTAAGAAGGAAAGAAATTCCACAAATTAACTTTTAAGAAGGCACACCTGTTAATTGAAATTCATTCCAGGTGACTACCTCATGAAGCTGGTTGAGAGAATGCCAAGAGTGTGCAAAGCTGTCATCAAGGCAAAGTGTGGCTATTTGAAGAATATAAAATATAAAATATTTGTTCAACCCTTTTTTGTTACTACATCATTCCATATGTGTTATTTCATAGTTTTGAAGTCTTCACTATTATTCTACAATGTAAAAATAAAGAAAAACCCTTGAATGAGTAGGTGTGTCCAAACTTTTGACTGGTAGTGTATGTTTATTAATTATGAAATTATGAAAAATATGAATAACATCCCACCCATGAGGCCACTAGGGGGCGCTTTGGTTATTCAACTGCAGGAAAGGCTACCCCTGTTTAAATTGAGCAATGTTGAGGTGGTAGAACTGACTAAATTAAATTAATCGTAGAGGTCTTATAACCTATTCCATTCTACAGGTAAACATGTTTGGCTCATGTCTGTTTTTCCATATAGGCTTTTTAACTATTTGTAAAAAACTGCCCATTATTAAATTGATGAAATTATTTAATTGAGCTTTTATTTGTATTACTCTTCTTATTCACTTAGCTACTTACTTTTTATATTGTTGCTGCATTGCTGAGAGGTTAACCTGCAAGAAAGCATTGTACTCCACATGTATGTGACAAAAAAAACTAACTTGAACTTGGAAGGGAATGGGGAGGGAAGCCAGAAAAAGAGGGGAAAATATAACCTGCTTTGTGGTTAGATTGTAGGTGAACAAAACATTGAAAATATGTAGGCCCTTAAGTTATGTGTCCTCAAATGTTATGTAATCTAAAAATCACACATTAGCTAGTAGAACTGACAAGGTCTTACACAGTGAGGGAAAAAAGTATTTGATCCCCTGCTGATTTTGTACGTTTGCCCACTGACAAAGAAATGATCAGTCTATAATTTTAATGGTAGTTTTATTTGAACAGTGAGAGACCGAATAACAACAAAAAAATCCAGAAAAACGCATGTCAAAAATTTTATAAATTGATTTGCATTTTAATGAGGGAAATAAGTATTTGACCCCCTCTCAATCAGAAAGATTTCTGGCTCCCAGGTGTCTTTTATACAGGTAACGAGCTGAGATTAGGAGCACACTCTTAAAGGGAGTGCTCCTAATCTCAGTTTGTTACCTGTATAAAAGACACCTGTCCACAGAAGCAATCAATCAATCAGATTCCAAACTCTCCACCATGGCCAAGACCAAAGAGCTCTCCAAGGATGTCAGGGACAAGATTGTAGACCTACACAAGGCTGGAATGGGCTACAAGACCATCGCCAAGCAGCTAGGTGAGAAGGTGACAACAGTTGGTGCGATGCAATGCAAGAAACACAAAAGAACTGTCAATCTCCCTCGGCCTGGGGCTCCATGCAAGATCTCACCTCGTGGAGTTGCAATGATCATGAGAACGGTGAGGAATCAGCCCAGAACTACACAGGAGGATCTTGTCAATGATCTCAAGGCAGCTGAGACCATAGTCACCAAGAAAACAATTGGTAACATACTATGCCGTGAAGGACTGAAATCCTGCAGCACCCGCAAGGTCCCCCTGCTGAAGAAAGCACATATAAAGGGCTGTCTGAAGTTTGCCAATGAACATCTGAATGATTCAGAGGAGAACTGGGTGAAAATGTTGTGGTCAGATGAGAACAAAATGGAGCTCTTTGGCATCAACTCAACTCGCCGTGTTTGGAGGAGGAGGAATGCTGCCTATGACCCCAAGAACACCTTCCCCACCGTCAAACATGGAGGTGGAAACATTATGCTTTGGGGGTGTTTTTCTGCTAAGGGGACAGGACAACTTCACCGCATCAAAGGGACGATGGACGGGGCCATGTACCGTCAAATCTTGGGTGAGAACCTCCTTCCCTCAGCCAGGGCATTCAAAATGGGTCGTGGATGGGTATTCCAGCATGACAATGACCCAAAACACACGGCCAAGGCAACAAAGGAGTGGCTCAAGAAGAAGCACATTAAGGTCCTGGAGTGGCCTAGCCAGTCTCCAGACCGTAATCCCATAGAAAATCTGTGGAGGGAGCTGAAGATTTGAGTTGCCAAACGTCAGGCTCGAAACCTTAATGACTTGGAGAAGATCTGCAAAGAGGAGTGGGACAAAATCCCTCCTGAGATGTGTGCAAACCTGGTGGCCAACTACAAGAAACGTCTGACCTCTGTGATTGCCAACAAGGGTTTTGCAACCAAGTACTAAGTCATGTTTTGCAGAGGGGTCAAATACTTATTTCCCTCATTAAAATGCAAATCAATTTATAACATTTTTGACATGCGTTTTTCTGGATTTTTTTGTTGTTATTCTGTCTCTCACTGTTCAAATAAATCTACCATTAAAATTATAGACTGATCATGTCTTTGTCAGTGGGCAAACGTACAAAATCAGCAGGGGATCAAATACTTTTTTCCCTCACTGTAGCTTATTCCATTCTACAGGTATTTTTTTTGGCTCATGTCTCTTTATATTCATATAGTCTAGGGCAATGATGGGCATCATATGGGGCCTCAGTTGCTCGTGGGTCTGCGTACCCACATTGGAGTTGTATTGTGCTGTTATGAGGACACTTGAATTTTTCTTTACAGTAGAGTTGCCCTGGTCCTGTCAGTATACAGTAACTTTAACGAGCAACTGCCCCTAAAAAACAACTTCTCATTTAGAAAACAGCCTATGTGGCATTGATATGAGTCAGAAACATTTATTCTACTGTCAAAATTGACAAAAAAATCAGTCTCGTCCAAAACAGAGTTTTGTGAGACTTGTGGTCGTGACTGCATAAATTAAGGTTGGGTTTGTTTCAATCCTGCCCACATGCCCACAGCTGGCAGCAAAAAAGTAATCATAAATTCGGAGTGGAGCTGCACATGCCTGTGGTAAATTTGGGTTAACTTTGGATATCCCTATGGGGCTAGTTAGAGACCATTGGTAAATTACAAAATGTACATGGGACAATATGTAAAAATTCCAATAGCTCCAAATTTCAATTACTTAAAAACCTCAAACCAACTATACATTTCAGAAATTCGTACATAAATATATAAAGCATTTAATGAGAAAAAATGAAAAGGTGTGCAACATGAAAATATTGTCTCATTTACATTATGTAATTTATTGACGGTCCCTAACTTGCCCCGGAGATAGGCTATCCAAAGTCAGTCAGGGTGCACACCAGCCGGTTAAAGCTAATTGGCTAAATAATTTGGCTAACTCTTCCCACCTGCGAACACACACAGGAGACACCCACATCAAACCACACCCCGAAACCAACTCACATTTGAATTCAGTCATGGCCGCTTACATTTCTTAATAAACCAAATCTAAAATGAGGCCAAATCAGGAAGTGCAGTCGCCCTTTAAAACTAACTAATGACATGTTGCACCTCTACCTTGAGACCTTTCAGATGAGCCAAGGACGAGGACAAATGAGAACAGCAGGCCAGTGGAGCACTTAGAACAGGAGCAGCCAGGGGCAAATGGTAGGGAAGAGGATGATTTAGGTGTCCCAGACACAGGCCCAAAACAAACAGAAGAGTAGATGATGGAGAGAGAAACCAGACAAGACACAGAGACAGCAACAGAATAGTAGGATATGATGGAGAGAGACAACACACAAAGACAGCAACAGAATAATAGGTGCTGGAGAAAGACACCAGACAAGACACAGAGACCGCAACAGAATAGGATATGATGGCTAGAGACACCAGAATAACAGAATAGGCCATAACAGAAAAGGATAGACAAAGGAGAAAGTAACAAAGAAGAACCTGAGACAGCAACAGACAAGACACAGACAGCAACAGACAAGACACAGAGAAAGAGACAGAAGAGGGCAGATGGAGAGAGTACAGAGGTGGACTGTATCACTTCAAGCTGCTCTATAGATTCTAATTAGTTGTATTTATTTGCACAAATTATAACAGGTGAAATACAGACAGTGAAAAAGTAAAACATGGTTTACAAAGAATTTGAAAATACTATTAAAAACTTGTTTACTTTTACAGTTTTTACAACCAGGACAGGACGAGAGAGGAGGGTAGACAAGAATCAGCAACATATAATACTAAGAGACAGCAACAGAAGAGGGCAGACAAGAGAGACAGCAACAGACAACACAGAGAAAGCGATGGAGAGAGGCAGAGGAGGGGTGAGCACACAGTAGACTGTATCACTTAAAGCTGCTCTATGGATTCTAATTACGGCACAGTTTGTTTGTTTGTGTGTGTGTGTGTGTGTGTGTGTGTGTGTGTGTGTGTGTGTGTGTGTGTGTGTGTATGAGAGAGAGAGAGAGTCTATGTTTGAAGTTGTTGAGTGGTTTTTGGCAATACACTGTAGATGAACAGTATGTGTTCCAGAGTAGAGACCCCCACAGTAGCAACTGTAATTGAGTACTGGCAGTGTCTGCTGTGGTAGGTAGGTACAAGTTACCTGAACATTTTCTAATCTCTCAATGTTCTAATCTCTGTGTTCGTGTCAAAATGCACCAAATTCATGCATTTAGCTGTTGAAGTTATTTTCTTGGGGGGCCGGGGCAGAATGCCGCTGGACCCCCCTACTGGCTTTGGGCTAAGCCCCGAATGTCTTCAAATCCTAGAAACGCCCATGGTGTGGAGTGCAATAGAGATTGGTCATCTGTGGATCGTTTGGGGCTGTATACGAATTGGATTGTCTGGGATGATGGTGTTGATGTGAGCCATGGGATAAGCTTAGTCATAACGGGGTCTGAATCAAAATGTCTGTAAGTGTTTATGGTTATCCTCAAAATATGTGGCTAAGAGTGTAAACAGGACCATACACTAGGGGGATATATTTAGATGTTACACCCAGGATGACCATAGGGATAAAACGTCCTACCTCGGGACTGTCTGTTGTAGGATTCAGTCAGGAACTCTCGGATCTTATCAGAGGGGATGGCGAAGGAGATACCAGCTGTCACTTTCAGAGTGTTGATCCCAATCACCTCACCATCCTACAATAACACAGTCAATAATGAAGTCAATAATACAGTCATCCAACAACAATATACAATACAGTCAATGTAGTGTATGAAAACCACATTAACCAAAATCATTCATAATCATACATAGTGACACACTAATAACACCGTAACACTCCTACACACAATCACACATTTGCATACAGTTTCAAACTACAATGTGCCATCATGCAGACACATTGTCTGCCTTCTATTAGAGATGTAGAACTACTGTTTCACTGTCAATAAACAAACAGTATTCTCACCAGATTCACCAGAGGGCCTCCTGAATTACCATACTGTAAACAGAAAAGGACATCACTTCAGTTCTCAGTTCACAATCCTTTGGGATGTGTGTGTGTGTGTGTGTGTGTGTGTGTGTGTGCATGTGTTCACAGACTCACATTGATAATAGCGTCTGTCTGAATGTATTCCATTTCAGAGTTGCGTAGGCCCAGCTCCTTGCCCCCTCGTTGGGTTGTGCTGACTATCCCTGTGGTAACTGTGTTCTGGAGGGAGAAGGGGCTTCCGATGGCCACCACAAACTCCCCAGGCCTCAGGTCTGATGAATGCCCCAACATCAGCACAGGAAGCTTGATCTGAAGGTGGGACAAGTTAGGGAGGGCATATTTATTTACAGCATTAATATTTACTGTGAAGCTAAAGTCCTTCAAGCACAATTCCATAGACCCTTCCAATTCTTCTCACTGTATGGTCAGTCCACACTCTCAACAGTGCATCTCTTTTATATGTGGCCAGTACCTCATAAAACAGTACAAATCCATTTATGTTAAACTCCAGAACCACTGAGACTCCATGGCAAGGCAACCATGACAAGCCAGAGACAGTGCCTAGACAGACAGAGAGAGGGTATATTTATCCAGCCACAGTTTTCCTGTCTGCATTAAATAATTTCAATTCCGTCCAGTCATAGCCAATGAGTGTATGGTCCTAGCCCACGCGTCACTACATCACGTTGAGTCGGTGGTGCCCAACACACCACCAACGAATTCCCTGACAACAGCACCATCTTGAGACCTTTCCTATTTGTTCCCTGTATCCATTTTGTTTACCCTGGGTTATAAATAGAGTCACAGTGTGGAAGCTAATGTAACTGAGACTGACTGGCCAACAAGCCAAAGATATACACAAACAAAAGTCTATGTATGCAAACACCAAAACACGCCCTGTAGTCAACTACCCAGGTGTATTCATATTGCCATCATGAAATATAATAACACTACATTTCCCTTTCCAATATAGTATATAAACTAGATTATTACATGTTGATTGGCATCTCTACACAACATTAGAGCCATAGGTCTACAAATAGTATAAATCCATCAAAAATGGATGTCAATTATAATACGCCATTTTAGCTTTTTGTGTTGCGGGAACTCAATGCGAACTTGACCCATGAGTTGTAGCCTAGGTATTAATAGAAGACGACAGTGAGAAGATGAGAGTGTGTAACTGAGGAGGGGAACCTTTCACATCCCCCCCATCCCCCCATCCCACCTTCTCCTCCTCCCCCCATCCCACCTTCTCCTCCTCCCCCCATCCCACCTTCTCCTCCTCCCCCCTCTCATTCCCTTTATCCAGACTTGACACTGGAATAGCAGTCTGTGAACTGCTATTCAGTCTGTGACTCCCCACCCTCACACCATCACACTCACTCACACATACACACACACACATGCACACACACACACACACACTCACGGACACATACACACACATTTGTTTTACTATCCTTGTGGGGACCAAACAATTGATTCCCATTCTAAATCCTATTTTGCCTAACCCCTAACCCTAACCCTTAACCTAACCCTAACCTTAAACCTAACCTTAACCTCAAACCCTAAACCTAACCATAATTCTAACCCTTACCCTAATTGTAACCCTAAATCTAACCCCTAAGCCTAAAATAGCCTTTTTCCTTGTGGGGACCGGCGAAATGTCCCCACTTGTCCGGATTTTCCTTGTTTAACTATCCTTGTGAGGACTTCTGGTCCCCACAAGATTAGTTTAAAAAAAGTAAAAAACACACACACACCGCCCGTACCCCGACCCGACCAGGGTAAGGGGATAACCAGATGGAGGGAGAAAAGGCACATGGTGGCAAGAGGAAGTCAGGTGCGTCTGAGTCACTGGTTGTCTGCCAGCCGCTTGCTGTGGTGATAGTGCTAATAACAGCGTGATTGTTATACAATCGAAGGATGCTTATTGAAATGTCTCAGAGAAGTGAATAAAGAAAACAAAGCTTGACACACACATGTACATATCCATCTGCTTACACACAATGCTGCCACTGTATTGTGGGCGGTACAGTCAGGCTTACACACATTCACTTATACACTGTGAATGCCTAGGCTAGCTGATATGAGCCCTTTGAGGGTGGGAGTGTCTATGTGTGAATAGGCATAAAGCAAACATCAAATGGAATGACTCTTCATGTGTGAAGACTGTTAGTCTAGCTATCACCACCTGAACCCAGCTACTTTTTGTCCTTGTGGATTCCGTGTTGAATATACAGTACCAGTCAAAAGTTTAGACACACCTACTCATTCATGGCTTTTTCTTTATTTTTACTATTTCCTACATTGTAGAATAATAGTGAAGACATCCAAAATATGAAATAACACATATCGAATCATGAAGTAACCAAAAAAGTGTTAAATAAATCAAAATATATTTTAGATTCTTCAAAGTAACATAACACTTTTTTGGTTACTACATGATTCCATATGGGTTATTTCATAGTTTTGATGTCTTCACTATTATTCTACAATGTAGAAAATAGTCAAAATTAAGACAAAAAAACTTGAATGAGTAGGTGTGTCCAATCTTTTGACGGGTACTGTATGTATTTTCGGTGGTTCTGACTTTCTCTTGACCATAAGTGACTCACCAGGTTATTTTGAACCATGGGCTGGTCTTAATGCATTAACACTTATCCCCCAACATTGACCACATTATCTGTGTGTGGTGGTGATGAAGATACTAAAAGTCCTGGACTGAGAAGCATCCGTACAGTTCTGGCCTGTAGTGAATCAGAACAAAGTATTTCAGCATTCAGTCACTAGCGTGAGGGCTCAGAAGCCAACTGCGTAGAGTTTTTTTCATGGTCCTAGTTCTTGCCGGATTTAGCTACCAACAGTTTTTACACTTTAAGAAGAGGTGGTTAACCTTTTAAGGATCAGACCCTTCTTTTCAATTTCCGCCTAAAATGACATACCCAAATCTAACTACCTGTAGCTCAGGACCTGAAGCAAGGATATGCATGTTCTTGATACTATTTGAAAGGAAACACTTTGAAGTTTGTGGAAATGTGAAATTGATGTAGGAGAACATAACACAATAGATCTGGTAAAAGATAAAACAAACAAAAAAACATGTCTTTATTTTTGTTGCATCATCTTTGACATGAAAAAGAAAAGCCATACATTATGATAGGAAGCTGGAGGTAATTTAGATGTTGTCTACAAGAGGGCAACAGTGTTTGTGCAAAGATTCAGACTGATACCTTCAAGAATGAGGGAGCTACATAACATTTAGTATGAAGTCACCCAGGTGTCCCTCATAAGTTTGCCCAAATGTACCCAAGTGGCCTCCAAGTGGCCGAATTGCTATATTGATACATTTTCAAGTACATAACTATAGAGAACATACAACAATGCTATGGTAATAAAAAATACACGTTTACACACTCCCAGGAATGTCATATATGATTAACTATTTAAGATAAGGGCGAAGTTAGCAGCCAACACTGATCTAATGTCATAAGTGTAAACACCACAAACACTTCATACTAAATGTTATGTAGCTCCCTCATTCATACACCTTATGGAACAGCAGGTACTGTGAAGTAACACAAACATAGGCACAGACACATGCATACAAACACACACACGATAACATACACACTATACACACACGTACACTTGGATATTGTACTGTAGATATGTGGTAGTGGTAGGGGGGCACACAGTGTGTTGTGAAATCTGTGAATGTATTGTAGTGTTTTTAAAATGGTATAAACTGCTTTAATTTGCTGGACCCCAGGAAGAGTGGCTGCTGCCTTGGCAGCAGCTAATGGGGATCCATAATAAATACAAATACAAATACAAATACAAATACAACGACGCCTCCCTGCTGTGCTCTTTTTGGCCCTGAGGCACATTCATGTCAGCAGTTATGTATTTTGGCAGGTGAACACAACTGGTGGCAGGAGTAGAGGGGTGAAGATGAAGGGGGCTGTACTTTCCAGTAAAGTCCAGCTGAGGTCCTGGCTGCCTTTTCGGTCTAAATGTTGGTGGAAGTGGCTCCACATCATCTCCTGGGCTGGCCTCTTCACACCTCTAGATGGCCGGGCTTGGAGCCAGAGACAGCAGCAGGGGTCGGACTGAATAAAAAAATATATATAGTAAGAATATTTTTACGGATGAGCCCTGCATCAATACATCAAATAAACAACACATATCTATAAACATATTATATATAATATAGAGTAGGGGGAACACAATCACTGTGGTGAAGTGTGTGTACCAATGGTAAAAAAGGCTGGTGAGGGGAGGACGGCTCGTAGTGGTGGCCGGGGTGGGGTGAGTGGAATGGTATCAAGCACATGGTTTTCATCTGTTTGGTGCTGTTCCATTCAATCCATTCTGGCCATTCCACTCCATTCCAGCCATTGTTGTGTGCCGTCCTCCCGTCACCAGCCCCCAGTGGCTTTTATATACAGTGGGGAAAAAAAGTATTTAGTCAGCCACCAATTGTGCAAGTTCTCCCACTTAAAAAGATGAGAGAGGCCTGTAATTTTCATCATAGGTACATGTCAACTATGACGGACAAAATGAGAAAAGAAATTCCAGAAAATCACATTGTAGGATTTTTTATGAATTTATTTGCAAATTATGGTGGAAAATAAGTATGTGGTCAATAACAAAAGTTTCTCAATACTTTGTTATATACCCCTTGTTGGCAATGACACAGGTCAAACGTTTTCTGTAAGTCTTCACAAGGTTTTCACACACTGTTGCTGGTATTTTGGCCCATTCCTCCATGCAGATCTCCTCTAGAGCAGTGATGTTTTGGGGCTGTCGCTGGGCAACACGGACTTTCAACTCCCTCCAAAGATTTTCTATGGGGTTGAGATCTGGAGACTGGCTAGGCCACTCCAGGACCTTGAAATGCTTCTTACGAAGCCACTCCTTCGTTGCCCGGGAGGTGTGTTTGGGATCATTGTCATGCTAAAAGACCCAGCCACGTTTCATCTTCAATGCCCTTGCTGATGGAAGGAGGTTTTCACTCAAAATCTCACGATACATGGCCCCATTCATTCTTTCCTTTACACGGATCAGTCGTCCTGGTCCCTTTGCAGAAAAACAGCCCCAAAGCATGAAGTTTCCACCCCCATGCTTCACAGTAGGTATGGTGTTCTTTGGATGCAACTCAGCATTCTTTGTCCTCCAAACACGATGAGTTGAGTTTTTACCAAAAAGTTATATTTTGGTTTCATCTGACCATATGACATTCTCCCAATCCTCTTCTGGATCATCCAAATGCACTCTAGCAAACTTCAGATGGGCCTGGACAT